TTGGCAGCATATAGACTGCAGTACTGCCCATTTGGCAGCATATAGACTCCAGTCCTGCCCATTTGGCCATTTGGCAGCATATAGACTCCAGTACTGCCCATTTGGCAGCATATAGACTCCAGTACTGCCCATTTGGCAGCATATAGACTCCAGTACTGCCCATTTGGCAGCATATAGACTCCAGTACTGCCCATTTGGCAGCATATAGACTCCAGTACTGCCCATTTGGCAGCATATAGACTCCAGTACTGCCCATTTGGCAGCATATAGACTCCAGTACTGCCCATTTGGCAGCATATAGACTCCAGTACTGCCCATTTGGCAGCATATAGACTCCAGTACTGCCCATTTGGCAGCATATAGACTCCAGTACTGCCCATTTGGCAGCATATAGACTCCAGTACTGCCCATTTGGCAGCATATAGACTCAGTACTGCCCATTTGGCAGCATATAGACTCCAGTACTGCCCATTTGGCAGCATATAGACTCCAGTACTGCCCATTTGGCAGCATATAGACTCCAGTACTGCCCATTTGGCAGCATATAGACTCCAGTACTGCCCATTTGGCAGCATATAGACTGACTCCAGTACTGCCCATTTGGCAGCATATAGACTCCAGTACTGCCCATTTGGCAGCATATAGACTCCAGTACTGCCCATTTGGCAGCATATAGACTCCAGTACTGCCCATTTGGCAGCATATAGACTCCAGTACTGCCCATTTGGCAGCATATAGACTCCAGTACTGCCCATTTGGCAGCATATAGACTCCAGTACTGCCCATTTGGCAGCATATAGACTCCAGTACTGCCCATTTGGCAGCATATAGACTCCAGTACTGCCCATTTGGCAGCATATAGACTCCAGTACTGCCCATTTGGCAGCATATAGACTCCAGTACTGCCCATTTGGCAGCATATAGACTCCAGTACTGCCCATTTGGCTGCATATAGACTCCAGTACTGCCCATTTGGCAGCATATAGACTCCAGTACTGCCCATTTGGCAGCATATAGATTCCAGTACTGCCCATTTGGCAGCATATAGACTCCAGTACTGCCCATTTGGCAGCATATAGACTCCAGTACTGCCCATTTGGCAGCATATAGACTCCAGTACTGCCCATTTGGCAGCATATAGACTCCAGTACTGCCCATTTGGCAGCATATAGACTCCAGTACTGCTCATTTGGCAGCATATAGACTCAGTACTGCCCATTTGGCAGCATATAGACTCCAGTACTGCCCATTTGGCAGCATATAGACTCCAGTACTGCCCATTTGGCAGCATACAGACTCCAGTACTGCTCATTTGGCAGCATATAGACTCCAGTACTGCCCATTTGGCAGCATATAGACTCCAGTACTGCCCATTTGGCAGCATATAGACTCCAGTACTGCCCATTTGGCAGCATACAGACTCCAGTACTGCTCATTTGGCAGCATATAGACTCCAGTACTGCTCATTTGGCAGCATATAGACTCCAGTACTGCTCATTTGGCAGCATATAGACTCCAGTACTGCCCATTTGGCAGCATATAGACTCCAGTACTGCTCATTTGGCAGCATACAGACTCCAGTACTGCTCATTTGGCAGCATATAGACTCCAGTACTGCTCATTTGGCAGCATATAGACTCCAGTACTGCCCATTTGGCAGCATATAGACTCCAGTACTGCCCATTTAGCAGCATATAGACTCCAGTACTGCCCATTTGGCAGCATACAGACTCCAGTACTGCTCATTTGGCAGCATATAGACTCCAGTACTGCCCATTTGGCAGCATATAGACTCCAGTACTGCCCATTTGGCAGCATATAGACTCCAGTACTGCTCATTTGGCAGCATATAGACTCCAGTACTGCCCATTTGGCAGCATACCGACTCCAGTACTGCCCATTTTGGCATATAGACTCCAGCTGCCCATATGGCAGACTGCAGTACTGCTCATTTGGCAGCATATAGACTCCAGTACTGCCCATTTGGCAGCATACAGACTCCAGTACTGCCCATTTGGCAGCATATAGACTGCAGTACTGCTCATTTGGCAGCATATAGACTCCAGTCCTGCTCATTTGGCAGAATACCAACTCCAGTACTGCCCATTTGGCAGCATACCGACTCCAGTACTGCCTATTTGGCAGCATATAGACTTCTGTACTGCCCACTTATCAGCATACAGAATTTAGTACTGACCATTAGGCAGCAAAGAGCCTCGTCTAGTGTATACACGAGAGAAGATGCTCTAGGGCAATGCTGCCTTACTTGGACAGCCCAGCCTGGCAGTTGGAATATGACAGTTTCTAGCTGCTGTCAACAACAGTGAAGCGTTTAAATCCCTACTGGCTGTCCTACACTGTAGCATGTATGTATTCAGATTGAGTTGGAATTCATTCCCTGTACTCCCAAGTTGTGCCATTCACCAGGTGTCCATAACGATGGGTGAGAGATATGAGGGCAGGACCTTTAAGCAACATGAGGGGCTGATAAAGCTGGACTCCGTATGATTGAACAGAGTAAACTTTACATCCCCAGATGCATCAAACCTGCATATGGTATAAGATGGTGGTTGTTTCCTGACTGGAGCCTGTCAATAAAGGGATGAAACAACTACTGGCTGGCTCAAGAGTCCAGTATACTGTGTCTGACTTCTGACTGTTGCACACACACACACACACACACACACCGGCTCAAGAATCCAGTATACTGTGTCTGACTGTTGTTGCGCACAGGCACACACACACACACACACACACACACACACCGCTCCAGAATCCAGTATACTGTGTCTGACTGTTGCATGGCGCACACACACACACACTGGCTCAAGAGTCCAGTATACACACACACACACTGCTTGCACACACACACACACACCGCTCACACACACACACACTGTCTCCGACTGTTACATGTCCGACTGACATGGTTTGCATGGCACACACATACACACACACACACACACACGGCTCAAGAATCCAGTATACTGTGTCTGACTGTTGCATGGCACACACGCACACACACACACGCTCAGAATCCAGTACACTGTGTCTGACTGTTGCATGGCGCACGCGCGCACACACACACACACACACACACACACCGGCTCAAGAATCCAGTACACTGTGTCTGACTGTTGCATGGCACACACACACACACACACACCGGCTCAGGAGTCCAGTATACTGTGTCCGACTGTTGAACAGCACACATACGCACACACACTGGCTCAAGAGTCCAGTATACTGTGTCCGACTGTTGAACAGCACACACACACACACACCGGCTCAGGAGTCCAGTATACTGTGGCCGACTGTTGAACAGCACACACACACACCGGCTCAGGAGTCCAGTATACTGTGTCCGACTGTTGAACAGCACACACACACACCGGTTCAGGAGTCCAGTATACTGTGTTCGACTGTTGAACAGCACACTCACACACACACCGGCTCAGGAGTCCAGTATACTGTGTTCGACTGTTGAACAGCACACACACACACACACACACACACACACCGGCTCAGGAGTCCAGTATACTGTGTCCGACTGTTGAACAGCACACTCACACACACACCGGCTCAGGAGTCCAGTATACTGTGTTCGACTGTTGAACAGCACACACACACACACACACACACACCGGCTCATGAGTCCAGTATACTGTGTCCGACTGTTGAACAGCACACTCACACACACACCGGCTCAAGAGTCCAGTATACTGTGTCCGACTGTTGAACAGCACACACACACACACACACCGGCTCAGGAGTCCAGTATACTGTGTCCGACTGTTGAACAGCACACTCACACACACACCGGCTCAGGAGTCCAGTATACTGTGTCCGACTGTTGAACAGCACACTCACACACACACACGTGCTCAAGAGTCCAGTATACTGTGTCAGACTGTTGAACAGCACACACACACACACACACACCGGCTCAGGAGTCCAGTATACTGTGTCAGACTGTTGAACAGCACACTCACACACACACACACACGGCTCAGGAGTCCAGTATACTGTGTCCGACTGTTGAACAGCACACACACACACACACACACCGCTCAGGAGTCCAGTATACTGTGTCCGACTGTTGAACAGCACACACACACACACACACACGGCTCAAGAGTCCAGTATACTGTGTCCGACTGTTGAACAGCACACACACACACACACCGGCTCAGAGTCCAGTATACTGTGTCCGACTGTTGAACAGCACACTCACACACACACACCGGCTCAGAGTCCAGTATACTGTGTCCGACTGTTGAACAGCACACTCACACACACGTGCTCAAGAGTCCAGTATACTGTGTCCGACTGTTGAACAGCACACTCACACACACACACACTGGCTCAAGAGTCCAGTATACTGTGTCTGACTGTTGAACAGCACACTCACACACACACACACCGGCTCAAGAGTCCAGTATACTGTGTCTGACTGTTGCATGGCGCACGCACAGACACACACACACTGGCTCAAGAGTCCAGTATACTGTGTCCGACTGTTTAACAGCACACTCACACATGCACACACACTGGCTCAAGAGTCCAGTATACTGTGTCTGACTGTTGCACACACTCACGCACACACACTGGCTATCACATGTTGAACAGCAATGTCCAGTATACGCACTGTTGAACACACACACACACTGGCTCAAGAGTCCAGTATACTGTGTCCGACTGTTGAACAGCACACTCACACACGCACACACACTGGCTCAAGAGTCCAGTATACTGTGTCCGACTGTTGAACAGCACACTCACACACGCACACACACTGGCTCAAGAGTCCAGTATACTGTGTCCGACTGTTGAACAGCACACTCACACCTTGCTACATAAGAGCAATAAGTTCTATGATGACTGCTGGGCAAACACATGGACAACCTGGCTGCTCCGCATCTGTACAGGTTAACTCCTCCATTAAAAACATTAATCTTTTGAGGATTGGCACCCCAGCACAGAGACAACAAAACAAGATGTATTTCAACATATTTTATGTATCTTCATCATCATTCAGCTTCATGCTACCTGTACAGTATGATTGAGGCACAATGCGGGAAAGTCCTGCAGGCATAACAGTTTGGTAGAATTCATTATGCTATGTACATGGTAATAGACTGACAAAACAAGCTGCCATCCCTCCTTCCAAACATGGACCTGTCCATCACAGAGGAGGACCAGACCACAGTTGGAGATGAAGGATAGGCCACTACGAATACAGTTATGCTGCAAGTGAAGAATGGCATCAATGAATGGTGACTAGAGATGTTTGTGTGGCTTTGATATGAACACAAGAAGATGACGATGATGATCTGACAAAGGTTGAAGAACACAGATATAGCCGATTTACTTAACATTAAACACTACCCAAAGTCATCTCAGCTTCAGAATAAGTCTCTCTTTCTTATTGCACATACAATTTATAGTATTACCAACATGTTGACTTACAAACAATTCTAAAACAATATTATAGCAAGATTATTTTCATTTTCATCCAAATCAGAATCACTGAAAAAATATCATTTTCAAACATTCAAGCTTTAAAAATTGTTAGAACTGAAAAAATGTTCTTTTTCAAGATATAAATATGCGATAATAAATTAGATGGCACTTAAAGGCACTGCTTTGTCATTCTTTGTGAGGAGAAAGGGGATGTTGAGAAAGTAATGATATAAGAAATATGACAATATATTAATAGAATATGAAAATTTTGGTAAAAATAGTGTATATGATTTACTCCATCTTGAAGCTTCTACTGTTGATTTGTGAATGCAATATGGTCCATTTTGTTAACAAATATTTAATAATTGTAATGATATGCCATTTGTCAGATGTATCCATGAATACAAAATCAGTTTGATACAACAGAAACACAGGCTTAAAGAATCCAGTTGAATTAACACAAAGCAATCTTTGGCTTCTGGGACAAATTGTCTGCCATTTGTGTCAGTTTTTGTTAGCACATTTACATGCAAAAGGTTTAAATGGGAGAGCACGATAGCACAGACGAGTCGAGAAGCGGACCTCATGATGCAGACAGACGGAGTAGTTGTAAGAACACTGACCACCAGGTGCTCTGTAGTTTCGCTATGAACACATTGCAGCTTACAGCCGACTGTGTGTACAATAAATATAATGTTAGAAATGAGTCCAGCAGAGCTAGGAGACCACAGCTTAACCCACAAGTTACCATGGTTACTGTGTGAAGATGCGGACCAGCTTGAGAAGAGGGCCTGCTTGCACCTTAGTGATCCCTGAAGGTATAGTAGGAACACAGTCTTGTAAGCCTCCTCCACCCTGCTGACCCCAGTCGGCTGGCCCTTGGTGAGTCTATTTATCACATATTTGTTGTGTAGTGTGGAGTGTCCTGTGTAATGTTCACCTTGTGACCACACATCACTGCATGTTGTCCATCACTGGGTCAGTTTCTAGGTAAAGACTGCCTATGCAGTTATTATGACAGGGGCGGAAACAGTTGTTCCCGTCTTAATGTAAAGTCGCACACAGTACATAACATCAGTAGTATGTTGTGAAAGCATTTAGCAAAATAGTTTTAACTTTCTGTTATGAGAATATCACAAAGTGTGCCCCAGCGGACACCGTGTCAAGCGACTGACGCACACACTGTAGCCACCGATGGAGTTCACGTACATCCCAGTCTGACATGGTGGATCCATGACACATGAGCACACTAAGACACCATTCTGAATATTGATTTGTCTTGCTGGCAAACATGTCTCCAAAGGTCTTCGGTCATGCAGTATCACATCCTCTCTATTCAACATCCTCCAAAAATAGCTGACACAAGGGGAGATAACTCCTCTTCAATGTGGACCGTCATTCTACACATTCACACAACACTTGGTGTAAGTGCACGTACTCACGGCGTATGCATTCGCAAGTACACAGGTTCTGATGAAAGAGGTGGAGCTCGCACCGGGTACATAAGATTAACATCCAAGTCATTATTATGTTCAGCTAACGATGTCTTATGGTAATGAGACACCAAGTCTTTAAGAGTTTGGAAAATGAAGTATGGTTCCGCAAAGCCATAACCTGATTCACTGTGGTAAATTTTACAGTGTCCAACCTTCCCACGAAACCTGCAACAAAGAAGAAAAGTAGAGGTTAAATGTTATACAAGAAACTAACAAATAATTTCATCTCAAAAAGCTTTTCCCAGTTATTCATTGTTAGAAATTGAAGGGGATCTAGCGGACATTCAGATTTGCCTGTACGGTATCAATGTATCATATAAATTACTCATCCCTTATGTACAAGGTACGGCTGAGACCCACTAACTTAATGCGGGCACTGAAAATTAGCTCCAAAGTAAGCTACTTACACAATAGATAACACATGCACATTTCCCTCCTCCTTCTTGGGCCGGATGAGGAACGTCCCATCAGGTCGCTTCTTCAGCATGTCTTCTGCCTTCTCTCGATGACAGTTGACGAGCCACATTGATTCATCATGGTTAGGTAGATTGTACTCCGGCTCCAACGCAGGGTCACACACACTGCAGGGCAAAGGAAAAAGGTCAGCATTTGTAAAATTATAAGTGACATTTCAATATTAAGAACACTTATAAAACCCAAAATTACAGAAAGAGACAATATTTACCATTTGATAATGATAATACACAAACATGAGTTCTCACCTTTCTTTCTTTCCCTCTAACAGATTGTCAAGGAAGTCTGCAGGCTTGCCACGATCAATCAGCCACTTTTTAAGTTGTTCTCGTTGACGATACAAGCGTTTTATTTCAGGTTTCAAACTGTTCATTTCACTGATTAGTGAGCGATTGTAACTGGACTTTCTGTTAATGTCAACCTCCAGGCCACTCTTACTCTCCTGAATCCCCAGGCATCTCGACTTCAGCAGCTCCAGGTTCTCATGCAGCCTGCAGAAGAAGGGCAGTTCATAGAAATATTGCCTCAAGTCATTTACTTTGTCTACTTGTTTGTTGTTTCCAAACACACTCAGAACTATTCCAGCTATATGAACAGTGATTGACAAAGATCCAGTGATTGACATCAAGAGCATTTACCTATGCAGTTGGGTCACTATGACATGCATCCAACTGGTGAAGATATGCACCACATCCTGTACCACCACAAGCATGGCATGCGGGGCCCTTATTCTCGAAACGTTCAGAGCCCTAAGAATTCTTAAGTTTGATCAAAGCCAATGTGTTAAGAAAGGGCTTAAGAAGTTTGTAGGGCTATGAACGTTTCGAGAATAGCTAGCCTGGACACCAATTCACTCCTAGAGGAGTGAGTGAGTGTGTGTCAGGGTCAATAATGATGATGAATGCTTTCCACTTGTCTATCATTACAGCATAACTGACTTTCATGGCATAATGAATAACATACATACATTTGACTGAAAATGTTTGAAATGAGCCTCTGAGAGACATTGGAAACAGTTTGATTAAAACTCACTTTTGGATTTCGTGTGGAGCTGCCTCTTTATGAAATCTCCGATGCAAGTCCATTTGTTCCTCAAAGACCAGCAGTGTTTCCTTGAAGGCATCAAGTGCCTGATGTTTCATCTGAAGCTCTTGAGCTGTCTTGGAGTGGCGCTCATACAGACGATCATAGGATGTGGTCTTCTCCAGGTATTCCTTGTTAATCTGGATCAAGTTGTTAACTTCCTTGCTCACATCCTCTGTCATACCATTGTCCTGGAAAACAATAACAGACATGTCATACCACTGTCCTGGAAAACAATCACAGACATGTCATACCATTGTCCTGGAAAAATATCAAAAACTGTCATACCATTGTCCTGGAAAACAATCACAGACATGTCATACCATTGTCCTGGAAAACTATCAAAAACTGTCATACCATTGTCCAGACAATCACAGACATATCTTCCTTATGCAGAACAATCACAGACATACACACAAGGCCATTGTCAATGGTGAATATGTTACATTTATTTGTGCAACTAGAAACTGACATGTAGATAATTCTCCTCCAGAGCTACCCCATTAGAATACCTGGGACTTGCTATAGTGCATGGGACACAAAGTGCGAGCTGTGTACAATGCTGCATTCAACAGTTTTAAGTTACATCACAGCTTGTCAACCTACGTGGAAGAAAAGCAGGAAGTGAGGCAGGCCTCAGATGTTTTCGACCTTGGTGAGACACACAAACACTGGTTTGGTGCTGACGAACGAACAGACATAAACGGAAGCTAACCAGGACTTGAACCCACAATCATATGCTGAGGTGTGCCAATTGGGGCCATCCATATCCCCTGTGACACACAGAGAGTACAAGACCAAGAATGAACTTGTAGGGTACTCACGGGACCCATTCCCCGGGTGACGGGGTGCAGCAGCTTGATGTCCAGCGTGCGGTTGTAGATGGCCAGCGACGTGTTCTGGTAGTACTGGATCAGGTCCACTACAGAGTTAAACTCCAGGGGCTCTACGAACCCATACTTCTTGTCTCGATGGTAGATCTTGATGAGCTTGTTGCTCCCTCCTTTCCTATAATTAGACAGTTACATGACTTAATTTCTTCATGGGACTTAAAACTCATCAAGTTGACACATTCCTGTAATACTGGTACTATATCCGAGTAGTACTTTGCATCATCTTACATTTGATACACTGAATGACTGAAGGGGTTTAATATGGTGGCAATGGTCAGTGTTATTACAAAGGGGCGCCATTCCAGTTTGGTTCCTAATCCTGGGTTGTTGGTTGTTGAAAAACCACCCACAAGGCCATGAGACTTCTCCTTATCTCAGTGTCAAGGTGTTTTCGCTCAACATCTCCCCATACCTACATGTGTCATTAAACACTTCTCTTTACCTCAATGTTAAAGTGTAGTCTCCGGGTGTGGCCGAGTCACGGACAAGGAAGGTTCCATCTGGGGTATCTCGCAGCTTCTCGTTGACTTCCTCCCGAGAGATGTCCCCCCAGTACCACTCTGCCTCCTTCACCCGCTCCTCAGGGGTCACAGGTGACATCACAGTTGCAGGATGCTCCATCGGACGAATGCGAGGGGGTACCACAGGTGGGGAGGGGATTGGGGGGATGACCTCTCCCCAACTTCCATTACGCAGAAGCTCCTCAAAGATGTCAATGTGCGTCTTTGTGTTGTCGACAATCTCTCTAAAACAAAATACATATAATCAGCATAAGTTCAAGTAATCAGTACTGCATTTCTTGAGCTAAAACTAAAAGTTATAGGAACTATGAATTTGTCAAAAAGCAATGAACACCAGTGAGTAAAATTGTAGCTATCAACTAAAACAGGATTGTTATGACGTCTTGTCATATTGCCCTCGGATAGCTCGACATCAGCATGACAAGATGAACTGACAGTTGTGTCACATGACTGACAGAGGTACTCACATGATCTTTTCCCATGGAGGCCGAAGCAGTATGTGACAAAAGACGTGAGACAGCTTGTCAAGGCCGTCCACGACGCCTGATTCATGCTGGAAGCGCCACAAGCGACAGAAGTGCCCCATGAGGTACGCTAGCGTTGACTTGTGTGGAGGCGGCAGTTCTTCTATCAAGTCCAGAAGAGACTTGATGATGTCCACTTTGTTTTCTGAGGAAACATGATGCAAATGGTTAGGTCACAACTAATACAAAGAAGAACTTGGTGATTTCCATGCTGTTGTCCACAACATTCCTAATACTGCAATCATTACAGATAGCGTCATTGTAACAACATTTCGGGGCAACTTCTGGTCCTTTCCTCTGGTGAATACTGAGTTTTTATATTGACTTAATACATATATACATGATTGGGTACAGAGATACAGAGGAGGTGTGGCCACTCACTTGCTGCCCCAATGAAGGCACTGTACATCTCCACTGGGATGACGGGATTGGGCAGTTCCCGCAGGTACTTCTTGAGGGCACCTGCTACGCAGTGCACATTGTAAGATGACAGGTTCAACTGGCTTGTGTCACCTGCAACATCACAAATATTTCACCATAAATAGATTTCTAAGGTATTTGAATAATCAATTTTGTGTATTTAATTTATAACCGATTATTTAACCGAGAGTGTGCAGTGACATACCGATGTTAAAGACTGCCTTCACTTCGTTGATGTCTTCTGTCTTGGCTGATATTCTGTACACACTTAAAGCTTCAGATTCTGAAATAGAATGATGTGGACTTGATCAATTTCATATTCAGCATATAAACACAGGGTCATCATCAGAATAACTAATCAGCACAAAGCAAACTATAATTAGATCCTCCATAACTGTTCACAGCTTCCTGATTTACGGACTTATACCTACAAATCAAAGATTGGCTGTATAGTTTGGCTATGCCTCTCCATTACTACTAGTATATACTGGAGTTAACCACAACGAATGTGTCAGTAGCTGGGTACTTACTGTGATCCTGGCACCAGTTCTCAATGTCTTCAATACACTTGACAACCACCCAAGGAACACACAGATGGGACTTGGTCACCTCCTCTGTCAGCTCATTCCCAAACACAGAGTCTGCAGCAAACACGTCACACATACAGTCAGGCAACAAAACCACTCAATGGGTACTAGCTCATAGTAGAACACAGAGTCTGCAGCAAACACGTCACACATACAGTCAGGCAACAAAACCACTCAATGGGTACTAGCTCATAGTAGAACACAGAGTCTGCAGCAAACACGTCCACACATACAGTCAGGCAACAAAACCACTCAATGGGTACTAGCTCATAGTAGAACACAGAGTCTGCAGCAAACACGTCACACATACAGTCAGGCAACAAAACCACTCAATGGGTACTAGCTCATAGTAGAACACAGAGTCTGCAGCAAACACGTCACACATACAGTCAGGCAACAAAACCACTCAATGGGTACTAGCTCATAGTAGAACACAGAGTCTGCAGCAAACACGTCACACATACAGTCAGGCAACAAAACCACTCAATGGGTACTAGCTCATAGTAGAACACAGAGTCTGCAGCAAACACGTCACACATACAGTCAGGCAACAAAACCACTCAATGGGTACTAGCTCATAGTAGACAGTCAGGCAACAAAACCACTCAATGGGTACTAGCTCATAGTAGAGAATACAGATAACAACAGTTGCAGCAATATTAAACCAATCACAAAATCATGTATGGATATATTACAAAGAGTCCCAATAATGTTGTGACCAATAAAGAATTTCGACAATGAAATGACTGACAGAGCGATAGCGACTTACTCTGACAGAAGCTGGGTCTCACGCAGCTGCTCCAGTTTGGGCACATTACACTCCGTGGGTCTCTGTGCCGAGCAGAACCGATGACAACACAGGCCGCACTCTGCCAACAAACGGTCAACACATTGTCACTTGCTGTTATTACCCAATCTATTGTCATCCTGCAGGAGGCAGTCGGCCATTAGTGGACGTGCCAAATGGTTTTTTTCCAGTTTATAAAAATTTCATTGTAAACTTAATCAACTGCGATAGAATTACTTTATCAAAACAACAATGAAAGCTTACATGTGATATCAATAACATACTTTTACCAAACAAAGATATTTACAACATTGGCATAAATATTTAAAATCATAAACTATTATTCAGAAATAATAAATCGAAATAATAAATCATGAAATGAATGTATCTCTTTATTATGGATTAAATAGAAATTGTTTTGAGAGATGTGATATTTATAGTGGAAGCAGAAAGACTGCATGGAGCTTGTACCTCGACACTGGAGCCCTTGTCGAACAAGGCCGTACAAGAACTTATCACACAGATGGCAGCGTTGCATGGAGGAGAAATTGTACTCCGCAAATCGGTGTTCAGATGATGCTGCAGAATATGCATCAGCTGGAAAAGACAACCACATCACAGTGAACAACTGGAAACAAACCGTCCGATTATTTCAGCAAATTATGGAATGTCATTTTGTTGTGAGCAGAGGTTTACGCCACTTGTAGCAACATTACAGCATTACAAGAAATGCACTTCACACAGTCATCAGATGGGGGGATGGAAGCAAGGTCTTTGGTGTTACACACCACTGCTTCACTGACCCTTGTCTTGTAGTGGGATCAATAAGCAAAATATTTTATAGCTATAGAAATCTGGATTGTTCTGGACTAGACATAATTGAAATGGAGATAAACAGTAAGTAATTTTTGTAAGCTCTTGAGTCAAATAACATTCCTGCCAAAAAGTACAATTTGTGGACTGGAGTCTGACAGGATGTCAATCACTAAAATATGGAATTACTTTGATGATCAGTTTAAGGAAAGTTGGAATTTGATTTCAATTGCATCTAAAGTTGAAGAGAAGTCACACTGGCAAAACTGTAAGTGTTTGGAAGAGGACAACTAACCTTCCATGTCAACACATTGGTTGGGAGGTGGAAGACTGGTGGCATACGGTTGCTGAAACAAAAGGGAAAACATTAGAATCTGCTACACAGAGTGTTAAGAAATGTAGGTAAAATCCTTTTTGGCAGCCTTAAACAAGTGGAATCCATAAGGATGGGCCCTTCCCTCTATGGGAATCAAACACACATCTTCGGTGTGACATCCAGTCCATTGGCATAGATGGAGTGAGGATATATGAAGTAATATGTAAAGCCACTTTCTCCAGCCTCATCACACCGACGAATCAAGGATGGGCTTCACACTGGGGGAATCCAAACTGGGTTGTCAGTGTGAAAAGCAAACACCTCACCCACCAGGCTACATTAACTGTATTTAAGTACAGTGTTAATTCCAGCATGAAAAGCTTACATGGCGACGACAGAGCCACACAGCTCTTCTACATGTAATTCTCCGAGGTTGCATGGTACAAGAGCTTGTGTTAACAGCACAGACGTTTCTGGGGCTTCCGTCTTCAACTAGTTAGTTTTAGTTGCTCTGACGTTTTCTTCATCAACTCGAGTAAGGTCACTTCCTGTTGTAGCGCCACCTAGACTGCTCCAGGGAACATGAGCTTTCTGTGACCTACCCCCATCTACTCCAAGTTGAAATCACAAAGTAATTAGCCATTCCATGTCGACTGAAGTACTTGACATTTAAAACTAGTTACAATATACTCCTGAATGGCCCACAATCAAAGTCCTGTTTAAAGACGCATCAGTGAATATAGGTTCCAAATGATTTAACCCAATTAACCAACAAATATCAAATTTCAGACATATGCGTTCTTTATATTGATAGACAGTATCCTGGTGTCACCTTAATATTTCTGTACCATACCATTATAAGTCTTTTAAACTCTAGTGAGTCAGTAGTATTTCATATTGATTGACCTCAAGTGACGAAGGTTTTTCAGGACATTTCCACAAGGATGTCTATCATTGGGTGTGGGGAGTACACTGGACTGTATTTAAACCAATAGCAAGACCACGCTTGACTTAAACGTACTTAACAAGATAACAATATGACATTATTCAACTGTCATGTTTTATAGAATGCCATCACAAATTCTGTAGTACCGTAAGTTCATGAGCTAGAAGGTTAATGGGCTCAAATGGGACACCTGTCATCATCATTGCAAATACTGCCAATAAAATATTTCCTTATCAAGGACAAAAGATATGAAATGAATCCATATTTCTGATAATTTCCTTTTACATCTATATTTTTGGAGAATATCAAAATGCCAAAAGAAATTATTTGAAATCAAATTAACGATTATTGTAAGAATTCAGAATTAATTCAAAAGAATGGTAATAAATTTACACTCTCCTCATTCCCTTACATACCCAGATTTGTGTAAAAAAATAACCACATCCTACAACATAATTTAAAAAAATATATATATCAAAATGCTGTGATGTCTCAAGTACAGCTTCCTTTCTCTATATGATTGTCCGCCAGGTAGAGTTAAATAGTCATCAGCAGTTGTCTGGTATGTGGCTTTTGACTGTGATAATCATCTGCGGCAACAGCCGGATCTTTATTGGACCACTCGTTACCACAGGGCACTCTGGTGGTGACTTGCCTTTCATGCTGGCTTTCAGTCTGACAGCCCAGAAACTGGGTTGATGAATGCGTTCTGCTTGGCTTGCTTGGCCTCTGTTTGCCCCAATGACCCTGCTCCCACACGACCCCTGTATAAGTTACCTCTGACCTGACCTGCCTTCAACACTACCACAGGTAATGGAAGACTTCAGAAAGCAGATGCGCAGTAAAACAGATGCATACTTTGGAAGTAAAAGCAGACAGTTTGCAAATTGAGGCAGATGGTCATCTTGAGAGTAAAAGTGCAACACATTTAGGGAGATAAAATAGACGCATTAATGAGAGTTTATTCCTGGCAGAATCAAAAGTAGGTGAGCTACTAAATGAAGAATAATGAAAAACAGAGTCAAGTTGCCAAGATGGAGGAAATGCCATCTTGGGCTGATGTCTGCCAGACTTGATAAGCCTTTTACTGGAATTATTTTAAGAAGATTTATCTCAACATGACACGACACAACTGCTTACAGCGATCACATCACCTAAACACTCTCATCAACTTGATTACATTAACCAACTTTTTTATTGTCCCCCTTTTAAGCTAAATTTATACCTCAAGTCGCAGCTGTCCATTTTCGATGCTTTACTGGGCTCTTCCCTTGTGTCCGTATTTCTAGATCATCACTTGCCTGTTAGCCTACAATTTGGCCCATTTCAGAAGGAAACATATACACCAAGTGAAATAGAGCACATCTGAGTGCGGCAGTTACATTTTTCATGATGTTTATTCATGTGTTAAAAATCTTCCTTCAAGGGGCTATTAGGTCTTATGCTTGTATCTTGGCAAGGGTTGTGTTCAATTCCTGAGTTGTGCCTTCGTACTAAGGCTAGGATTGGGCTATAAATCTTCAGTTTTATCTTAGTGTTTAGGCTAGGGTTGTGTTAATTTCCTCAGTTCCGTCTCTGTATGAAGGCTGAGTTGTGTTAAATAGGCTGAGTTGTGTGTTTGACTTACATTGTCCGAGTTCTGCCCACACAGCTCGTCTATACACACCAGGATGGACTTCTGATGGTATTCGTCCTTAATGCCCATTTCCTGCAAAACAAAGACAAGATGAGAAACTCCTGCAATTTAAATATCCATATATGACAGTGAACGAAATGAAAACCATGAGATATGAAAGAACACCATACCTCACTTTTCTCTTACACACACACAAGTCGAGGTTCTTTTCTTATTTCCTATATTAAGTGCTGTGTTGCTCTACTGTCTATCAAGAATACAAGATTTCAGACTTTTCTGGTTGATGGCATGATGTCAACCTCCCTAAATGAGCAAACGATGGAGTACACAACTCACCCATCTCTTCAATGGGGGCCAGGGAGGTGTTGCCGCCATCGCCCTAGCCTCATCACAGACTAACTACAAGCCTGCCACAAGCCTACTGCAGCATTAATGTAACCATAACTAATATAACACTCTGGCACTATCTACATCATGCTAGTCTTGCAAAAATTGTTTTTAGTCCTGTGGCTATCAGAATTTGAATTAGGTGCAAAACAATAGTGGTATTAATTTTGCTTTTTTCTGTCCAGAAATTGATCTTTTTGTTGAGACCCTGTAACATACAGAAGCAAACACCCAGTGTGTAGTCCAGCATGTAACTAGACGACAATGTGGTGCCGAGCCCAAAGCAAGAAATAATGTTATTAAAAGTTTCAGCAGCTATAGGTTTGCACACTGATACTAAAAGTAAGATTGATATTAGAGGTTTGGATGTTACAGACTCGGACATAATTATTATTTGGACACTGTCATAGACATTCCTTCAATATGACTTTCTGTAACCATATTAAAGGCCTAATAACATAAAATAAAACAAATTCAATTAAATAAGAGCTTGGAGCACATTTTAAGGAAGATGGTCACATAGTGAAAACCAACTTGTACAGCAACTCTGGCCAAACTAGGTGCTTGAAGAAAGAGCGTGTGGGGGAATGAGTTGGGTTTTACACCGCTTTTAGCAATATTCCAGCAATATCACAGCGGGGAACACCAAAAATGGTCTTCACACATTGTACCCAAGTGGGGACTTGAACTTGAAGAAGAAGTTTATTACAAAGCACCCTAGTACCCTAGAACTGATCACATACTAGTCAAATTAGGTGTAACCATTGTGTCTGTAACTTCCTTTTCAACAATCACATGATAATCAAGACTGACAATGATGTAAAAGTCACTTCCTCTATCTTTTCACATGTATTTCATCTTGAGGACATCATAGATCTTCTACATCATCGTGTAGACAAACTGACTAATATCTGCTACAAGTCATGTCCTCATCATGCACAATGGAAGCAAGATATTTTTCAGTCAAGATCCAGATGAATGCCAAATAAATGGTACAAGCATTATCCACCATGTGTCACTGTTTCTAGAATTCCATTGATGTTGAAACATGTGTTGTACAGGTGGAAAGAGTTTATCGGTCTGCATGATGGTTTCGGTACGAGCAAGGGTTGCAGGACTCTGTCAATGCCATGATGGTCGATGTCAGGATTACAGAATGCAAAAAGTGATGTTAGACTGTGACATGAATGATGACTAGAGTAATAAGGTGAAGTACGTACCTGGTGAAACATATAGTCATGGGGGGGTATGACCAGCCTAAGTGAGCACCCAGTATCCATGGGAACTCACAGAATGGAAGATGGATTGTATGGGGAAACACATAGACTGGTTTCCTGGCATGGGAGAGGATCGGTGACAGAGTTTCTGTATCAGTTGCCAAGCGGAACACTAGAAACAGGCCATGTGCCAGATACAGGCTAGGGAGCCAGATAACACAGTCAGGCTTTATCTCCCTGTAACACACTAGCAACTATACACAATCATGTACAATCCAGTTAAACATCCCCAACTCTGGGTGAGCAAAAGACTATCAGTGTGACACTGGTTGGGAAGTGAATAAAGCTGAACACCTTCAGCTGCTATTGTGTGCTGTCTCTTCCACTGCTAAGTTTCAACTGCACCAACCTGTGGCTGAGGCCGTCTGCTGGCTGGAGCCTGGTTGTGATTGACAGCTAGCTCCGCCTCCAGTTGCACTATATATAGCGGTGTCACCACCGCTGGCCTACAGCAGTAGAGAAGTAGGTCACGCTTGCACAGTGAGGTGGAGCACATGACCTCTGATGCAGGTGACAGGAGAAGGAGGTAAGACAGGCAGGCTTTAGGTATGGACACCAGGTCCTGCTGCTGGGTCACAGTACACACAGGTGATACAGACTCAATATTCCCTGGAGGGATACGGCATGTTACCCTGAGGGGTGATAATACCAACAGAATGATTCAATTGAAGACTGACTAAATATTTCTACATCACAAACCGACAACCAAAAAGCAGGCAATGTAACAATAACCAAATTTCATACATATTTTCATGTATTGACTACATGCTGCTCTCATATATGAAAATGTGAATTACAACACCAGGTGTGTTTTTAAAGGTTTGAAAAGTATGAATTGAAGATCTTAACACTAAAACAACCTATAATTGCATAACAAGCTCTGACTTGTAATTGGATTTGCAGGTTGTTGTTTTTTCCCCAAGAACAATGGCCCCACATTAAAATCAAGCATACCCATTAAGTCATCAAGACTTCATCAATCGATGGTGCCCTCTCCCCTTCTGCAACCCCCCTCCCTCGTTGTGTGCTCTCTCCTCGTGATTTCACGCTCCACTAACCCAACAGACAAAGAACAGCCTAAGCCCAGCAAAAACGAAGATCAAACAGGCGGCCATAAGCCATCTTACCTAATGCAACACACACAAATTACATCGTTGGTTCGACAACTGAATAAGGCCGCCTTTCCTCCCACCCCTCTCTGTGGAGCAGTGAGGGTAATTATTAAGGCAACCCTAGGCATCATTCTGTGACCACTAATGAAGGCTAGAAGGCTTTCGCACCTGTGAATTTCAATACATCCTGACAGGGCATTACGTATATTTAAAACCACATTGTTGAATCACCATCTTTATTGTTGCAGGCCTAATCAACTTTTCTTTTCTTGTATGATTTTTTTTAATGTTTTGACCCTGAAGACATGATTTTAAGACATGTCACAAAACATAAATTACAACTAATTATTTGTTATGTTTAGGATGTATACATCATGTAAATACTGTTTGCACTACACGGTTGTTATTTAAGATAACGATAAAGATGATCTCATGGCAGCTGAGTCTAATGGATGTACATAATACCAGGTCAAACACAGCGATGAAAGTATACTGGGCAAAACAAATAAAGGAACACTACTTGAAAGATGTGTGCCTTTATTTATTCCCAGATTTTCACCCAGTCCAATAAAAAGCATGTGAAGAAATCTGTAAAAGAATAATGGAACACTTGTACATTCATGCATTCCCTTATTTGTTTCCCTCAGTATATACTCCTGGCCAGACTGGCATTAAGGTAGTTGCTACGGTACTGTCCTGCAGTGACTGTGGACAATGGCGGTATACTCTCTACCTTCTCCAGTTGATGGTACAGAACCAGATGTTGAATGGTGTTGAAAGTAAGTCAAACTGTGATGCAGTGCTTGAGCTGTCCTACATTTACAAAACTGTTTAACACCCAAACACTGGACCCTGCTGTGCAGGTGTGGGTGAGAAAGTGACTTTCATGCTACTCTTAACAGTATGTTCTGTTTCATCACAGCATGTGAGCTAAATGTAGAGTAAAGGTGACAAGTCTAATAATAGAGATCATATGATTACCATGGGCAGGCTGGCAAGGGGATGTTTGTAACTGAAGGAATCCTTGTTTTAAAGCCATCATCATTACCTTGCACAACTTAAATCAAGGATTCTTTCATCAGTACACATCTGTACGTAAAGATCTATTTGAGAGAGTTGTCACCATGGAGACAAATCAGTGACATGCTGAATGTGTTCACATCGTAATCCAGACAAACTATAAGCAATAATAACATGTCAAAAATGGAGTTGACACACAGGGTAAACTGTTTCATACTCTTTGAGGCGAAGCAAGATTGTTACCAATCATGAATTGTAAGCATAACCATTCCGTATCATGCTGCTGTTGCTATGCACCGGTTCCTGACTCCACACAAACCGGACAATAAGCTGAATGAGTGAGTTTAGTTTTACGCCGCACTCAGCAATATTCCTGCTATATGGCGGCGGTCTGTAAATAATCGAGTCTGGACAAGACAATCCAGTGATCAACAGCATGAGCATCGATCTGCGCAACTGGGAACCGATGACATGTGTCAACCAAGTCAGCGAGCCTGACCACCCGATGCCGTTAGTCGCCTCTTGCGACAAGCATGGGTTACTGAAAATCAGCATTCTAACCCGGATCTTCACAGGTCAATAAGCTGAGACTATGATGGTGAGTAGGAGTACATCATCCTACACAACTACCTGGCACCCTGGAGTGGGTCACACAGGGCAATGCCTGTCCACCACACCTCTCTGCTTGCTACTAAAGCCTAGAGAGCAGAGTACCTGGTCACGCCTACTGAGAGGTGCACCTATATATTGACCAGCAGCTGACCAACTTCAATACCCCACCTGGTTATCTGTAAGAACTAGCCTAAGAAACTTTTATCATGACTGTAATAGAGGCATCAAAGTGACACATGGTATTTTTATTTTTTCACAGATTTGAGGAAATGCTGTAATTAGAAAAAATAATCATTAAAACAGTCAAAAGTAGCCTGACTGCTAGAGAACAATAAAAAGACTGTGACTGCAGAAAATGCTCAATGTTTACACATACTTAATCAACTCTTGATAGTCACATGCTACAGCAAACAAAATGTCAGGAAGCCTTATGAGTGAGTGAGTGAGCTGAGTTTTACGCCGCACTCAGCAATATCCAGCTATATGGCAGCGGTCTGTAAATAATCGAGTCTGGACCAGACAATCCAGTGATCAACGGAAGCCTAATGAAATGGAGGTGAACATATGAATATGTTAGCACTAATATACTAAACATTTTGAACAAATACATACACACAGAGAAGATGATTGTTTCTCACCAAACATTCAGAATCGAAGGACTTAA